GGGATAAAAATTCTCTACAGGTGGGAATTGCCTTTGGTAAGTATCGTAGAGACTTCTTTCAAATGCCTTCAAGTTGTACAAATCGTTTGGATGGATAGTTGATTCATCAATGTATCTAGACTCGAGCAGACTGTCAAGCAACAATGGCATGGATGAAGCTCTAGCACTAATTGCTTGTGGGTGCCCAATATTTAGATAACTGGGCACTTCATTCATGGGGACTGCTTGCAATTGGCTATGAACCATGCCATTATGTGATACACCATAAACATTTTGCATGATTGAGTATTTGTTGTCATACTCCACCACAGGATCAAAAAGGGTGCTCATCTCCATCTCCATCTCCATACCTTCCCCATTTATAATCTGGGGCTGCGGGGATAGAGAATCCTCGACATGATTTCGAGTTTCACATCTTTTGCTGTTCTTATCAACTTTCTTATAAATTCTACAGAGTACCCAATTATCCAACTGCAAACAACAAAACTTATTTTTGTAAGCATCACAAATTTCAACTCTGGCATATATAGTTAGATTTTCATTCTCAATTATATAGAAGGAGAATATGCATACCCTCATGTCATTCTCTCCATTTTTTCTTCGAACGGGAGAATCCTTGACTCGAAACTCAAGAGCCTTTCTGAATCCAACAAGAGCACCATTAGACCTAACTGCTTTGTCAGCTCCAGTGGCCTTCCAGTATCCATCACCAGCTGCTCTCTTTGGACGACTACCATTTTTATACTTCCGGTCCCTCGGAGTGAAAAAGTACCATTCAGCTTCTCCATATTTCCTATTTTTATCTGTTAATTAACAGAAAAAAACTAATTTGCTGATTATTTTGTGATGGTTGATCTTGGGCAAAGGACATGTTCTTGCCGTCTTTGACAAATTGATCGTTTTCCTTGTACGCATGCCGTGGCTGCAATTCTAGCTAAGAAAGATTCAGTTTATGATTACGTTGAGTGTTACTACAAGTTTGACTTCTTTCTAAAAGCCTATGAGAGTCCTATTTTTCCTATTCTAGATATTGGGAAAGGCTTGGGCAGCAATGGTTCAACTGCTGGAGTTGTGCTTTCGCCAATTACAAAGAGGCCAACCGGAAGACCACCAACGAAGAGGATAAAAGCTTTTGATGAAGGTACAAGGCGATTGAAATGCAATCGATGTAGTGTTGCTGGGCACAACAGGAAGACTTGCAAGGCGGTGATATGAACATTTCTTCTCAGTTGACACAATTGCTTATGTTAGATATGCTTTAGTGAATGTATAGTCAATTTCTGCATTGCAGTTTTTGCAAACACTGCACTGCAGTTTTTAGTTGCTTTTAATTGGCTACACAGCTTCTAATTGGATATTATGATTCTTTTCTGAAGTTAATGAAATTTATACAATTGTTTCATCAATGGATATTCATTTTTAACTGCCATTCATTGCTTGTTTTCACATTTGAGCAGATTTAGTTTCATAAACTGCATTGCAGTTTCCGTTTGTTGCAGTTGTTGACCAGAAACTACAGTGCAGTTTCTTGTTTCATAATTCGATTTTAGAATAATTTTTGCTAGTCTATGGGAATGTTACAACTGCTCATGGAGTTAAATGTGTTTTGATATTAGTTTTAGTACTTTGATCATGCCTTTGCCTTTCGGTTTCTTTTCAGATTCTTTGAGCATATTTTTTTTTTCATTAACTGCACTGCAGTTTCCGTTTGTTGATGTTTTTTACCAGAAACTACAGTGTAGTTTTTTTGTTTCATAATTTGATTTTAGAATAATTTTTGCAAGTCTTTTGGAATTTTGCAACTACTGACGTACTTAAATGTGTTGTGAAAAAAGTTTTAGTACTTTGATCGTGGCTTTGGCTTTTGGTTTCTTTTAACATTTTTTGAGCAGATTTTTTTTTTTCCATAAACTGCACTGCAGTTTCCGTTTGTTGCAATTTCTTGTTTCCTTTTCCTTTTGTTGCATCCTGTTCTAAGATTATATGACAGTTTAGATGTATAATGTGAGATCCCACATCGACCAACGGAGAGTGGGTGATGTGCCATATATGTACACACTTGCATCCATATAGCACGAGGCCTTTTGGGAGCTCACTGGCTTCGGAGTCGTAGGAACTCCGAAATTAAGCGAGTTGGGGGCCAGAGCAATCCCAGGATGGGTGACCCACTGGGAAGTTGGTAGTGGGCTCCCAGAAACAAAACCGTGAGGGCCAGAGAGGGGGGGGCTCAAAGCGGACAATATCGTGCTACGGCGGAGCCAATCCGGGATGTGACAATTTGGTATCAGAGCCACTCTGCCGTGTGGTGCGAGTGTGTCGACGAGGACGTCGGGCCCTTAAGGGGGGGGGATTGTGAGATCCCACATCGACCAACGGAGAGTGGGTGATGTGCCTTATATGTACACACCTGCATCCATATAGCACGAGGCCTTTTGGGAGCTCACTGGCTTCGGAGTCGTAGGAACTCCGAAGTAAGCGAGTTGGGGGCCAGAGCAATCCCAGGATGGGTGACCCACTGGGAAGTTGGTAGTGAGCTCCCAGAAACAAAACCGTGAGGGCCAGAGAGGGGGGGCTCAAAGCGGACAATATCGTGCTACAGCGGAGCCGATCCGGGATGTGACATATAACAAATCTTTTCTTATATACCATAACTAGAAATATTTACAAACATCCACAAGAATTAAGATACATATTGTCTTGAGTTAACAAAAGACAAATCACTAGAGACGATTAATGAGACAGTGTCTGTGGTGTAGCACTTTTGTGATGTATTGTGCTCGATATTCATTCATGAAATTCTTGTCTACACTTTTTGGAATGGGCTGTCCTTGTGCTATTTTATCCATATTGAACATGATGAAGATGCCACAATCCAACCTTCAAATGAATACGAGATTAGTTTTTGGTTTTAAATTATTTCAAACTGTAATGACTAGTTGAGTATAAACAATTCTTACGAAGATGAACTTTGTTGAGCACATTTTGTGTCATCCTCAAATGGAAACTGATACCTCAAATGGAAACTAAGATGGATTCTACATAATCTAATTGAGAGTGAGTTCTTCATTAGGGGACATCTCTTCTGGTACAGGTGCAGGGGCTCTTGCCTTTGCTTCACAAGTTTTGGTATTTTTCTAGTTTCTAAGAAAGCTTGTGCTTGAGGTCTGATGTATTCTAGCCACTTAACCTGTTTAAAGAAGGAAAAAAAAACAGAAAAAGAAATGGTAATCAGTGCATTGCATATTATAGTTCGGGTCTGAAATTAGGCAGTAGGTATAATATAGAAACTGCATTGCAGTTTGTGTTTGTGTTTGTGCTGAGAAATTAAGAGAGGTTCATTCCACTTACAATACGATGAGCAATGTCAATGCATCTTTCTTCAAGGTGAAGACCAATACTCGCGCAAATGGAATAGCTAATGGAATATTTTGTAAATTTGAAACTAAATATTGAAATTTGAAAATAATGACATAATGGCATATGTTGTAATTTTAAGGTTCTTTAATTATATTATGGTAAAAGTAGGTACTATATTTTGGATTTTGGCTTTATCCTAATTAGCTGAAATTGAATTCCTATTTGCCTAAATAGTAAACTATATTGTGTGTGAAAACTAAAGCTCCCTAGAAAAAATCATTTATTATTCCAAAAACCCATAAAACAAAATAATAATCAACATTCTTATAAAATTTCAAACATAATACCTCTTTTCTGAAACCGCCCATTCCAAAATGCTTGTGACTCCATAGCCATAAGTAACAGTACTTGTATGAACGGAAGTTGGAGATTCTTGGTTGCAAACATAAGAGCAAATCCCTTATAAATAATTAACATAATCACTCCTCCAAATATGATGATTCTCTCTCGAATCTCTTCTAACTCACTGAAATTGATACCCAGGAAACAAATGTGATATCAATTCTTTTCTCTTCTTTTTGGTAATAAATGTTGCGATCAAAGTATGTAAAAATTAAAGAAAAACGCATGCGTTGCAATATTTAACTTGAATGAATTTGTTACCTGATTTTTGGGTTTTGTTTGGAGTTTAGCCGCTTGAGGTGCGATTTTCTTTCTAGTTTTATGGCCAAAAAAATCACCAAAGAGGTAGAGAGTTCTAAGTTGACGATGAAAACCGATCGATGTTGTGAATATGGCTTTCTGTTTTATAGAGTGTGTGACTTTATTTTTAACTTTTTTCCTCTTTTAATTCTTCATCTACCCTGCAAACTCTAATTAGGGAATCACATGCTGCACCTGCATCTCTGCAAACT